TTAGCAATTTGGAAGATGGGAATATAGAAATGCTGCAGGCAGAGGAGGAGAGAGAAGTAAGACTAAAAAGAAATGAAGAAACTCTCCGAGAACTATCAGACACAATTAGGAGATGCAACGTAAGGATTATAGGTATACCAGAGGGAGAAGAGAAGGAGAAAGGGGCAGAAAGCCTATTCAAAGAAATAATGGCTGAGAACTTCCCAAATCTGGTGAGAGAGATGGATCTTCAGGTGACAGAAGCCAATAGATCTCCAAACTTTATCAATGCAAGAAGACCAACCCCACGGCATATAGTAGTGAAGTTAGCAAAAGTCAACGACAAGGAGAAAATACTAAGGACAGCCAGGCAAAAGAAACTAACCTACAAAGGAACCCCCATCAGGCTATCAGCAGATTTCTCAGCAGAAACTTTACAGGCTAGAAGAGAGTGGAATGATATATTCAAAAATCTGAAGGACAAAAACCTACAGCTGAGAATTCTCTACCCAGCGAAAATATCCTTCAAATACGATGGAGAAATAAAAACTTTCCCAGATAAACAAAAATTAAGGGAGTTCATTGCCACAAAACCTCCTCTCCAGGAAATCCTCAGGAAAACCCTCATTCCTGAAAAATCAAAAAAAGGAAAGGGGCTACAAAACCAAGAGCAGAGGAGATAAGTAGAAGGACAACAACAGAGAGTAGCAGCTCTCCATCAGAACAGATTAAACCATGGGACGAGAAGCAAAGGAAATTGAAGAAAACCAGGAAACAAGACATAAAATGTTAGTGGTAGGCCCCCACATCTCAATAATCACTCTAAATGTAAATGGATTGAACTCCCCAATCAAAAGACACAGAGTGGCAGGATGGATCAAAGAACAAGATCCAACAATATGCTGCCTCCAGGAAACACACCTCAACCCCAAAGACAAACACAGACTCAGAGTGAAGGGATGGAGAACAATACTCCAAGCTAATAATGAACAAAAGAAAGCAGATGTCGCTATACTAATATCAGACAAGGTAGACTTCAAAGCAAAACAGATAAAGAAAGATAAAGAGGGACAGTATATAATGATAAAAGGGACTCTCCACCAAGAAGACATAACACTTATAAATATATACGCACCCAACACAGGAGCACCAAAGTTTGTAAAGCAACTCTTAATAGAACTAAAAGAAGACATCAACAACAATACAATAATAGTAGGGGACCTCGACACACCATTAACACCAATGGACAGAACATCCAGACAGAAAATCAACAAGGAAATAATAGAATTAAATGAAAAATTAGACCAGACGGACTTAATAGATATATATAGAACACTTCATCCAAAAACAGCTGGTTACACATTCTTCTCAAGTGCACATGGAACATTCTCAAGGATTGACCATATTTTGGGAAACAAAGCAAACATCAATAAATACAAGAGAGTTGAAATAATATCAAGCATCTTTTCTGATCATAATGCTATGAAACTAGAAATCAACTACAAGAAAAAAGCAGAGAAAGGTGCAAAAATGTGGAGCCTAAACAACACGCTTCTGAACAAACAATGGAGCATTGAAGAAATTAAAGAAGAAATCAAATATTATCTGGAGACAAATGAAAATGAGAACACGACATACCAAATCATTTGGGATGCAGCAAAAGCAGTCCTAAGAAGGAAATTCATCGCAATTCAGGCTCACCTCACTAAACAAGAAAAAGCTCACATAAGCAACCTCAAACGACACCTAACAGAACTAGAAAAAGAAGAACAAACAAAGCCCAGAGTCAGTAGAAGGAGGGAAATAATAAAAATAAGAGCAGAAATAAACGATATTGAAACAAAAAAGACAGTAGAAAGGATCAATGAAACAAAGAGTTGGTTCTTAGAAAAAATTAACAAAATCGACAAACCTTTAGCCAGACTCACCAAGAAAAGAAGAGAGAAATCTCAAATAAACAAAATTAGGAATGAGAGAGGAGAAATCACAACAGATACCAATGAAATACAAGGGATCATAAGAGAATGCTATGAAAAACTATATGCCAACAAATTGAACAACCTGGAAGAAATGGACAACTTCCTAGACTCCTATAACCTTCCCAAACTGAATCAGGAAGAAATGGAGAATCTGAATAGGCCAATCACAAGTAAGGAAATAGAAACGGTAATCAAAAACCTCCCCAAAAATAAGAGTCCAGGACCAGACGGCTTCTCTAGAGAATTCTACCAAACATTCAAAGAAGACTTAATACCTATTCTTCTCAAACTATTCCAGAAAATTGAGGAAGATGGAGTACTCCCTAACACATTCTATGAAGCCAACATCACTCTGATCCCCAAACCTGACAAGGACAACACATAGAAGGAGAACTACAGGCCGATATCACTGATGAACATAGATACAAAAATCCTCAACAAAATTCTGGCAAACCGAATACAATAGATGCAGAGAAAGCATTCGACAAGATCCAACACCCATTTATGATAAAAACCCTCAATAAAATGGGTACAGAAGGAAAGTACCTCAACATAATAAAGACCATATATGACAGACTCACAGCCAACATCATACTCAATGGACAAAAACTGAAAGCCATCCCTCTGAGGACAGGAACAAGACAAGGGTGCCCACTTTCACCACTCCTATACAACATAGTACTGGAGGTGTTGGCCAGAGCAATTCGGCAGGAAAAAGAAATAAAAGGAATCCAAATAGGTAATGAAGAAGTAAAACTCTCGCTGTTTGCAGATGACATGATCTTATATATAGAAAACTCCAAAGAATCCATAGAAAAACTATTAGAAATAATCAACAACTACAGCAAAGTAGCAGGATATAAAATCAACATACATAAATCAGTAGCATTTCTATACACTAACAATGAACTAACAGAAAAAGAACTCAAGAACTCAATCCCATTCACAATCCCAACGAAAAGAATAAAATACCTTGGGATAAACTTAACCAAGGAAGTGAAGGATCTATACAATGAAAACTACAAGACTTTCTTGAAAGAAATTGACGACGACATAAAGCGATGGAAAGACATTCCATGCACATGGATTGGAAGAATAAACATAGTTAAAATGTCCATACTACCTAAAGCAATCTACAAATTCAATGCTATCCCAATCAGAATCCCAAGAACATTCTTCACAGAAATTGAACAAAGAATCCTAAAATTCATATGGGGCAACAAAAGACCGCGAATTGCTAAAGCAATCCTGAGCAAGAAGAACAAAGCCAGTGGAATCACAATCCCCAATTTCAAAACATACTACAAAGCTACAGTGATCAAAACAGCATGGTACTGGTACAAAAACAGGTCCACAGATCAATGGAACAGAATTGAAAGCCCAGAGATAAAACCACACATCTATGGACAGCTAATCTTTGACAAAGGAGCAGAGGGCCTACAATGGAGAAAAGAAAGTCTCTTCAACAAATGGTGCTGGGAAAACTGGACAGCCACATGCAAAAGATTGAAAATTGACCATTCTTTTTCACCACACACCAAAATAAACTCAAAATGGATCAAAGACCTAAAGATTAGGCCTGAGACAATAAGTCTTTTGGAAGAGAATATAGGCAGTACACTCTTTGACATCAGTTTCAAAAGAATCTTTTCGGACACTGTAACTCCTCAGTTGAGGGAAACAATAGAAAGAATAAACAAATGGGACTTCATCAGACTAAAGAGCTTCTTCAAGGCAAGGGAAAACAGGATTGAAACAAAAAAACAGCTCACTAATTGGGAAAAAATATTTACAAGCCACTTATCCGACAAAGGGTTAATCTCCATAATATACAAAGAACTCACACGGCTTAACAACAAAAAAACAAACAATCCGATCAAAAAATGGGCAGAGGACATGAACAGACATTTCTCAAAAGAAGATATAAATATGGCCAATAGACACATGAAAAGATGTTCATCACCACAAATCATTAGGGAAATGCAAATCAAAACTACATTAAGATATCACATTACCCCCGTTAGATTGGCAAAAACATCCAAAACCAAGAGCAACAAATGTTGGAGAGGTTGTGGAGAAAAAGGAACCCTCATACACTGTTGGTGGGAATGCAAACTGGTACAGCCACTATGGAAAACAGTAGGGAGATTTCTCAAAAAGTTAAAAATAGAAATACCCTATGACCCAGCCATCCCATTACTGGGTATCTATCCTAAGAACCTGAAATCAGAAATCCCAAGAGTCCCTTGCACCCCTATGTTCATCGCAGCATTATTTACAATAGCCAAGACATGGAACCAACCTACATGCCCAGAAACTGATGATTGGATAAAGAAGATATGGTATATATACACAATGGAATACTACTCAGCCATAAAAAAAGACAAAATTGGCCCATTCGCAGCAACGTGGATGGACCTCGAGGGTATTATGTTAAGTGAAATAAGCCAGTCAGAGAAAGACGAACTCTATATGACTCCACTCATAGGTGGAAGTTAATATATTGACAAGGAGATCTGATCGGTGGTTGCCAGGGAAAAGGGGGGGTGGGGGGAGGGCACAAAGGGGGAAGTGGTGTACCCACAGCATGACTAACAATAATGTACAACTGAAATCTCACAAGGTTGTAATCTATCATAACATTAATAATAAAAAAAAGAAGCATCTAACTCAAAAAAAAATTTCTCAAAAATAGAAATTAACTGAAAATAAGATAAAAAAGGGAAAAATTCAGGAAAAAGCAACTTGTTGCTCAGTTGAGCAGTCTCCCTGGTCTGCCTTTTTTGACGGATTACACCGTTTTTACTTAAATCTCTGAGAGAAATAAGCATACCCATGCTCTTTCGTTATAATGTAACAGCTCATAAAACGCATTGTCCATAAAAATGAGTTGCATGACCCATCTCGCAGCCGCTGAGCTGTTTATGATCCTAAATGTCTGGTTTTCTTCATTGTGTGGGTTTCTGTTTGTGTGACTGTCGTCTCCGAGGTCGCCCCATGACACTGAGGTCTGGTGCTGTCCCTGCCGCCTCCACTGCCCACCTGTCCTCAAGAGCTGCTTCCGTCGACTGGACGTCTCACAATCGCCCTGCAGAGTCTGAAGCACGAAAGCCAACATCTCGAGCGCACAGCCCAGGCACCGGGGGTGGAGGCGTGTGCCACGGTGTCTCAGGAAAAAATAAGAGGTCCCCGCGGGATGCTTACGAACTAATTCGGCCAGGCAGCCGGCTCTCCCCTCACTTCGTCCTGGAGAAGGCTGCCGTTTGCATCCTAGTGGTAATTTAAACGTCTCTGATTTTCCAGTTTCCAGTTACAAAAGTCCCACCGCCTCCCAGGACCTAGGTCCGCGTGATGCGATTTATTGTGGCAACAGTTCCCGGCAACTGCCCAGGTACCGAGCGCCTCCTGCCGAGCCTTTCAGCGCGGGCGGTGGGAGAGGCCGGAGGGCACGGGCGTGCGGGGCGCGGGGGCGCTGGACCGCGGGCGCCCGGCGCAGGGGCGCGGCAGGGAGCGCTCGCAGGGGCGCGCAGTGAAGCCGGGCCCGGGGAGGAGCGCGCGGCGCGCAGCATGGGCTGCGGACCTTCCCAGCCTGGTGAAGAGGCGAGACGCGTCCCCGCGCCCAAGAAGGGCTGGGAAGAGGGAGTCAAGGTAAAACAAACAAACAGAAACGGACAAACAGGCATAAAGCCTTGGGGGCGATCGGCGTGGGCTGGAGCAGGTCCCCTGGGGCTCACAGCCCGCCTAGTGGATGAGCAGTGGGGTGGGAGCAAATTTATTCAGCCGGTGTTTAACTGCTGTGTGAACCGGGACTCCTGCTGCTGTAGGACTAGCTTTGAGAGCGTTTTGTGTTTCAGGAGCCTGCGAAGGGGATCATACTCCGGGCCAGAGCCAGGAAGAATGAGATGAGCGGGGCGTTCTGCGCGGAGCTGGGGTTGGTGTTGATTCTCGAGAGGGTGGGAGTTCCTGGGAGCTGCCATATATTACTGGCTTCCGGAAAGTGGGCCCTTTGGGAATTACTTAGAGCTGGAAGAGATCTTAGAAGCGGTCTGGCTGAGTCCTCTTGCTTCCCACATGAGGACTCTAAGGCCCAAAGGGGTGGACAGCTTGTCTGAGGCCCCATACTTTGTTTAGGGGCAGAGCTGGAGATAGAATCTAATTTTCAAGTCTCATTCCCACACTCTTTCCATTCTCCCTCAAGGTTCCACCCCGTAATTATTCTGGAGACATGAAGGGGAATTTTTTCCAGGGTGGAGCATAGAGGGATGGATTGGTCCAGGCAGAAATGAGGTCCATGATTTCTTCCCATCTTCACCACCATCAAGACTCCACAAACAGAACTAGGAGACCACAAGGCTCCCTTCAAGAGGAGTTACCAAGAGATTATGTTACCATGTAAATTATCATCAAAAGCAGGATACTTTTAAAAATGAAAGGGAGCCCTATTAGTAAATTTACCCAGACATCTAATTTAAGCCCATACTGTCCACAGCAAACCAGGATTTGTGGTCACCCTTCCTAAAAGGCATCTTTGGAAGTACTGGCTAAAGAACACCCACTTTCTCTCAGCAGGCAATGTCCAAGACACTATTTGGTGTCAGTTACAGAACCTACTATGTGTGGGGCACAGCTGCTGGGCTCTCGGAGGACATCGAAAAGCAAACCAGAGGCTAGTAAAGGCTGAGACCCAGGCTTAGTACCTGTGCCCTGGGGAAAGCCTGTGCCCAGATGCCCACCCATCTTAACACTTTCTGCTGTCCATCCCAAATGCCACTGTCTGTGTTCAGGGCCCTATTCCTTCTTACTAGGTTTTTCTGCCTCCCCTGGTGCCACCCTGACCCATCTACCTCCCACACTGCCACTGTCTCCCTAAGAAATGATTCCGAGGGGTGTGCAAAACCCCTTACATTTGGTCCCTCCAGTCTCTCTAAGGTCATCCTCTCCTCTCCAGTCCCTCTTACTCGTGGACTCTTGGATCTGCCAAAGCAAGACTTGCAGTGTGGTTTTTCCAGGCTTCATCACAATCTATACCTTTCCACACACTCTTCCCTTTTTCCAGAATGCCCTCCCTGGGCCCCGTTCCCTGTTTGCGATGCTTTCCTACTCATCCTTCAGTACTGAGCCCGAACACTGTCGCTGTGATGCTCCCTTATCACATGGTCAATGTCTGTGTAAAGCTCCCTGTCCCTCCTAGATTTATGAGCTTCTTGGCAACAATGTGGTCATCTTTGTTATCACTCAGTGTTGCTTTGGACTAATATGTATGAATACATTTTTACTCCCTTTTTCCAAAAAGTATATTAGTGTGATTTAAACTATCCATTGTGCCTCACTCTTTTTTCCACAAAATCTTTATTTTAGTTTTTATTTGTTTTACTGGCATGATGACATATAAGATTTCAATAGAAGAAAATTTTCACTATTTGTTTCTCTTCTGACTGTTATCATTTGTTCCATTTCATGGTTATTACTGAAAATAATTCTTTTACTTATTAGAGAAGGAAGAAGTGCTAAAAGCAGTCCTCTCTGGATGTGAAGTACTCTGAGTCCCTCTAGGCCAGCCTCCCCCAGGCTGGGAGGGTTTCTGGTTTCTTCCTGAATGTTCTGGGTAAAATGGTCGTTGCCTCGCCCTTGGATTTTTAGACAGGTCCAGCTGGACCCTTTCTCCACTGCCCACCCCCGCCTCCCCTCCAACTCCAACCTTCCACATGACCTGCAGAGTGATCGTCCTCAGATAAAATCTGATTATGTCACTCTGCTGAAAAAAAGTTTCCAACTCATTAGGTAGCCACACAAACCAGCAGTAAAGAGTGTGGCTACCTCCATTTGATTTCTGGGTTCACTGTTTCTTGGTTGTGTAACTTTGGTCAAGTTATTTAATATCTCTGTGTCTCAGTTTCCTTATCTGTAAAATGAGGGTAATAATAATAACAGTTATTTTATAGAGTTATCATGAGGATTCAATGAATTCCATTCACGTAAAATGCTCATGCCAATGCCTGGCATAGAATGAGTGCTTAATATTAGTTATTACAATTGTTATTATTACGGTTATTTATGTAAGATAAAATTCTAAATCTTCAGCGCGCCTCACTAGCCATCCCCAAGCTGACTTCTGTCAAATTCTCCAGTTTCCTCTCTCCCCACACTCGTACTCTAGTCAAAGCCAACGACTTGTTGTTCCCCATCCCATGCTGTTTCTATCGCCAGGCCTTCGCACCTGCTGTTTCCTCTCCTTCCAGACCTTTCCTTCTCCATCGTCTTGAGCCACCGGCAAGCATGTTCTCATCTTTCGGGACCGCTCTTCCTGACGCCCTCCTTCCTCCCTGCTACTGCCGCCAAGCTGGCAGTGTCGACCTTACCCCTTCTCCCATCGTATTTCAAAACTTTCTGTTGTTTCCATGTTTGCCTCCCATCCTGAGCTGTTACCTTCTTGAGGACGGGAACGGTTTTGTGTCTTTGTATCTCCAGTGCTTACTGTAGTCCCTGATGCAGACCAGGCACTAACTAACATTTCTTGAGTGTCTGCATGCCGTCCCTCCCCGCTCCTCTGATTCCTCAGCGTCTTCTTGTCTCCTAGTCGCATAACTGAACTAATGGCATTCAGCATGGAGGAAATTCAGTACTAAAATAACCTGAAAATAGAGTCAACTCACACATATACATCTCCTTCCCCTCCCCAGCACTTGACCTTGGAAATCTCATCTGGGAAAGATATGATTGTTAATTAAACACTCTCAAACTATCAAACAGTACTGCTTTCGCTACCTTCATAAATGCACTGGGCTGAGAGTTTAGCAGTTCAGCAGCGTCTTTAAAACGAAATGAACGTGTTTGCTGGCATATTCATGTTTCTTAGCAGCACAACTTTAATATATTCTAAATCAAACTTCTTGAGATCTGCCTACAGACTTTCCCTTCACTTCTGCCTTAGTCTAAAGTGGCAGAAAAGACACTGTAATAAAATAATGCATAATAAGAAAAAAATGGGAAACTTTTCTTAGTTGGAGAAATGGTCTTCTTCTATATGGTTAACTCAAAGTTTCTTGCTTGTTATAAAAGGGGAGAGACTAGATTGGAATAAATGATCTCTAAGTATCCTTCACAGTTTTTCCCTAAACTTTGAAAATTCCTGTTTATCATCAGCAAAAAGGACTAAATTACTTCTTTGCGTTTTTTTGAGGAAGATTGGCCCTGAGCTAACATCTGTGTCCATCTTCCTCTATTTTATATGTGGGACGCCTGCCACAGCATGGCTTGATAAGCAGTGCTGGGTCCGCTCTCGGGATCCGAACCAGTGAACCCCAGGCCGCCGAAGCAGAATGTGCAAACTTAACCACTACACCACTGGGCCAGCCTCCTAAATTACTTCTTCAAGTCTGATGTTTAAAAGATCATATTTCTAAGTGCTTTTTGGAAGGTTGCTATTTATTATTACATTCATTAGAAGTAAAATTTAAAAATCAAATTTTGAAGAACAAATTCTTCCTATATGTCTACAGACATATATTTATAAAACACATCTGCCAATAATTTGATTTAAGAAGCGTTCAGCTCCAGGGAGCCTTGGCAAATGACTCCCTCCAAGCTGTTTGACAGATTTGTTTCTCAAAAGCTTTGGAACACAACATATAATACCTCCAGACCAAAAAACAAAACACAAAAAAAACCCCACAAAACCCTATCTATAGTTAAAAGTCATACCATTTTTGCAATGCTGATAATTCCCATGCATCGCTGTTAGCTTGGAATTCACAGCTTTTCAATTCTGTCTAAAATTGGTAAAATTTTATCCCCAAGACAATAAAGTATAAAATCAAATTGATACAGAATGTAGAAACACACTGAATCTGTACTTCTGCTACAACTTCATCTCAGGGAAAAAATGAAAACTTCCACCCAGCTGCCTGCTCCCTCCCCCAGTACCACTGCAGACAGACTTTTTATAGGTGTGAAAATGTAAACTCGGCATGCACAGATAAAACAAGAAAACTGTTTTGCCATATCCCCAAGAGGCGTAGATCTAATTAATTTGTAAATATCTCTGGTCTTTGAACTATGACTATCTTCAAGTCTAGATTATGAAATTGGGTTAAAATTTCCAGAATGTGGTCCACATAGATAAGATATTTGAAAGACATTCTTAGTTTTCAAAAGAGAAAATCCTTAAATTTCTGCTGCGGAAACTGAAGGCTGTATATGTTATTTTATGCTGAAAGATTGCATTTCATCTGCTACAGTTTAAGCGTTGGTCACTCACAGAGTTTGAAGGCAGACTGTATCTAAATAAGCATGAATGGGTAAAGATCCTTGCTAAGGCCTGGATTAGTGGC